AAAAAAAATCTCCGCTCCCTGACAGACTTCTTGGCCCCTTATCCTTGCTTTTTCCTAATTATTTCTTTCTTTTTTAAAGCTCTTGCTTTTTGAAAGTTCCCAAAAACCCCCTTTTCCGGGGGGCCCTTTTTTTTTCGTCCCAATTTAAAAAAAAAAGCCCCGAAACCCTCCGGTTTTTTTCCAATATCTTCTTTTTTTTTTTTTTTTTTTTTAAGCTTTTCCGTTTACTCCGGGCATTCCGCTCGCCCTCTTTTTTAAAATGAGGGGTTTTCTATAAAAATCCCTTTTAAATTTGGGGGGAGACAAATCTGAATAATTCCCTTTAAAATATGGCTCCGATCCCACCCCGTAAACCGGGGGGAGCGCCGGGGAAATCTCCTAAATCCCTCCGACCTGAATTTTTGGTAATAATGTATAAAAAATATGGGAACCTTTTTCAATCCATTTTGCCCCCATGGTGTGGTTTTTTTTATTTATTTGCTTTTTTCCCATCAGCGGGAAAAATATTCAGAAAGGGGGGTTTTACGGGGAAGTGACGATATGAACGTTGTTCCCAGAAATATAAATCTTTAATGATCGGGGAAAAAAAACACTTTTTATTGTTAAAGTCTTTCTCCTCATAGGCTTCGGAAAAAAGGGGCTAAAAAATTTTTTTAACGCGGTCCTTTTCCCTAGGGGAAATTTTAAACGGTAAAAGGGTTTTTTATCGGGGTTTTTTTTCTACGTGGGTATTTTTTATTTGATTTTTTGAAAAAGGGGTTTAAAAAGTAGGAGGGTTAAAAAGTTGTTGGGTAATATCGCCGTATCGGCCCTTCCCATTTCCCCGGGACTAAAGAGAGGGCAAAAAAGGGTCGCCCACCAAACCTTTTGGAGCGACCCACCCCCCTGTACAATACAGGGAAGATCCCCTACCGCCCCTTTTTTGATCCCAAAAAAGGGGTGAGGAAGGGGTTTTTTTTTTCATTCCAAAAACCATTTCCATGCCAGACCCAAATGTCCCATAGGGGGAGGAAAAGCGTAATTGTACCAAAACCCCCCCTTTGACAAAAAAATTTCCCTTTTTTTTAAAACATATTTAACTTTTAAAAATTTTATCACTTTTTATTTTTCTCAGATGGTTTTCAATCTCCGTTTTTAATCGTACATGGCCCCATCGTAATATCCGTGCGGGTTTATATTCCCAAAGAAACTGCCCCCGTCCAGCTTTTCCCCATTTAAAATAGGTCCAATTCGGGAAGGGCGTTTAACCACGTGTGGGGAAAGAAATCTCTTTCCAAGGCAACCCGCCATTACCCTTTTAATTTTAAAATTCGCCCCCCAAATTTTAAAAGGGGGAAAAAAGATCCTTTATTTTTAAAAAACTCCACGCTGTGTTAAAACTAATGTAATATAAATCCGCGTATCGCCACCGGGTCCATGGGAAAAAATGTCGGGGGTGGGTTTTAATTTAGGGGGTTTTTTATACATCTCTCAATCTGCCCCCTTGGCCAACTGTTAAATTTTTTCCGGCCCGTTTTTTCCATTTTTCAAACACTTGTTTTTTTCCTTTTGAGCGACTTTTTAATTCTTCTCCACATGGTTTTACCCCGGTCTTTGGGTATTTTGACTCTCTGTATTTCTTTTCGTAAAAAAACCCCTCGATCGCTTCCAAACTTTGTCCATTTAATTTATTCACAGGAGGAAAACATCGGCGCATTCCCGGTACTTTTAAAATTTCATCCCCTAAAGGATTTTTTTCGATTTTTTATTCAAACAAACCCCCTTAACTTTTAAAAATTTTAACCGGGCCCCTTCCTTTAAAAATTTTCCCCCTTTTCCCCTTTTTCTTTTTCTCCCCACCTTTTCCCGCCGTAAAGATTTTTAAGACTTGGGCCTTTAAATTTTTAAAGGAAACCTCCAAAAGGGGGCATTTTGAGCGGAATGAAAAACTCATTATAAACTTTTTTCAAGTTTTTGAAGCACGTCCAGATATCTCCGGTTTTTTTATTACGGTTGGGAAAAATCGCCACATTCTCGTTTTTAGGGGGGCGATTAAATCGCCTATAGGGGGCCTTCACACCCCTGGCTGTCCCAAAAAGGAAAAATTCCATATTTTTTTTATTAAGCCTTAAAATCTTTTTTTAAAAAATTTTTTCCCCGCATTTGGGTTTTAAACTTCTTAGAATTTTTTTTGTCTTTAAACACAGATTCAAAAACCCCTTTTATTTTTAGCTTTTTTTTTTTAAGAGCTCGGGCAAAAACCCTTTTTTTGGGAAAAAAAATCAATTACCTTAAAAATAATTGTTTTCCCTCATTTTTATCGGCCCAAAGATTTCATTTTCACAAAGACTCCTAAATTGTTTCACGGCCCCGAACAAAAAACTCGTTCCTTGGGGAAAAAAAGTCCCCTTTCCGGGTTTTTGGAAAGTTTAACGTTCCCTTTCTCCGACAAAAAAAAATTTTAACCCGGCTACCTTTAAAATTTTTTCCCTTTTTTTTTTTGCAAAGCTTTCCTTTAAACCCATTATTCCCCCAAAAATTTTCCCGGATTGGGAAAAGGGGGTTTTAGTTTAAATTTTTTTATAGCTTTCCCCCCAACATCCTATTCCTTCCCCACACTCAAAAAATAACGAAAGGGTTTTTTTATTTTTTCTCCCTTTTTTTACACGGGTTTAAAAATTTAAAAAAACAAAAACACAAAAACCAAAAAAACCAAAAAAAATTTTTTCCAATTAAGGAAACCCCCAATCACTCTACAAAAAATACAAATGAAAAACTTGAAATGTAAAAAACAAAAAACACACTTTCAAACTAAAAATGTAAAAACAAAAACTTTTCAAAATTTACTTTTTAAACTACCAAAATGTAAAAAATTGAAAATTTAAAAAACCCAAAAATTTATTTTTTTTTTTTTAAAAATTTTTTTTGGGTTTTTTTCCCTTTTTTTTTCAAACACTTCCAAGGATACAAAGATAAACAAGCAACTTAAAAAGCACATCATTCACCAAGTGCGACCCAAATTTTTGAAATTTCCAGGTTGTTTGGGGTTTTGGGGAAATTTTCTTGTTGTTTTTTACACTTCTCAACAGCAGCACACAGTCCGAACAAAAAAAAAAAATTGAGTTCTACAAAAGGTCCTTTTCCCAATTATCTTTACCTGAAATCCTCCGCTTCTTGTCCGCGTTCTTTCATCAGATGTTGAATGGATGGAATGAGTTGCGGTGTTTTGAGTCGACGTTGAAGCGTGATAAAGTTAGTCTGATAGAATTCTTCTTTCAATGCTTCGAGACAATGATGCTGTAGTTGACTCGGGCGGTCTGTTTGACATCCGTAACAAGTCTCTCGATTATATTCCAAAGCGACGTTGTTAAGCAAATGAAGCACGGCTGTTTTTACTATAGCAATGTGAGAGGAAAAGATCCATTCCACATCCACCTCCCCGTTTATAATCGGTGGAGTCTGCGCCGGATGCACGATGAGGCTGGTTTGCTCGTCTTCGGACGAATCAGGTGAGGCTCCCGCCGCCCTGTCTTCTTCAGACTCGGAAAGAGTGGGAAGCAATTTCTTTTCCTCCTTCAGGTTATTTGCTTCGTTAGTCTCGCTTGGAAAAGGCGCTGGTGATGGTGGATGATTAGCTTCGTCTGGAAAAAGTACCGGTGATGGAGGGTAGGGTGGTGAAGGTGGGAGAAATGGTGTGGGGGAAATAGGAGAGTATAAATCCCAGTACGACCCCATTCTATCAGCTGTAGGTTCGCCTCTTCTTGAAGAGATGTGTGCCGGTATGCTTCCTCCCGCTAAATATATATAGGGTGGAGGGTGGAGGGCGTGTCTAAAAGAGGGTTTTTTTCACAGTCAGAATGTCAAGCCAGCAGCGCGAACTCCGGAACAGGTTGGAAATCCGATCCCCAATTTCGATCATTTTTTGGCGCCATACACTAAAAGGTATCGCCAGCATGGTCCTAAAGATCCCGCTTTCTACGTTGAAAACTTCTAAAACAAACAGGTCGGGGGAAAAAGCCTCGTAGCTACGTCGCCTGCTCGCTCGGAGAGACCAGGACCCGTTTGTGGTAGATTTTGTTTCCCAAACTGCGCTAAAAAGCATCTCTCCGTTGACGATTTCAACATCGGATGGAAAACCGATCAACTCTGACCGATCTGGTGTAGCCAATTCCCCGCTTATTTCTGTATTGTAGGGGACCACCAACCTCAGCACTGCCCAGTCATTATAGGTAAGGTTGCATGTGTTGGAGAAGGGTGTGAGCTTCTCTTCTTGATCCAGTTGGTAAAGGTAGAGCTCACCGGATTCGTATTTGAAGATGTATCCCCACGCCCCAACCATGCCAGAATCCTCTAAAGACCATTCTTCATGCAGTGTTTCTAAGGGAGGGTGCTGAACCCGGCATAGATACAACGATGATTTCTTGGGAGCTTCGAGGGGGTGGTTCGAAGCTTGGAATACAGAAATTGGTGTCGCGGATAATAAAGATGTTCCGCTCGGCAACGCAGATCTTTTATTCACCTCCATCGCGTCCTCCATTTCTTCGGCCGGTCTAATGTCTGGGGAAGGCGTGGTCTCAGAGTCTTCCATAGCGTCCAGGGTTGTCGAAGTTGAAGCATCTTTCACAGACAGCGCGGACTCAGAGTCTTCCATTGCGTCCAGGGTTGTCGAAGTTGAAGCATCTTTCACCAAAGGTTCGATCCCGAATTCTCCCATCGCGTCCTCCATTTCTTTGCAGGCGGAAAAACGGATCTCGTTCTTTACACCTACTTCAAGCTGCTCAGGTAAAGCCGATTCTTTTTCCAATGCAGAGCGTAATTCTCTGCTTTTAAGAATAGCTCTCGGAATTCTTGACATTGTCGGTAGGAATGTAAGTGTTTTTCTCTTGCTGAAAATACAAAAACTTTTCTCCCCAGCAATATTTAAAGAGGACATAATTCCGCCCTCCTATTTTCATTGGTTAGCTTAGGGAAGGAGGGTGGGTGATGGAGTCATAAATCTTGGGGATCCGGAAGGATGGGGGATGGGGAACGGAATGGAGAGGGGTAAGGTCATAAATCTTGGGGGATCCAGAAGGATGGGGGATGGGACCGGAAGGGGGGAGGGGTGTCATAAATCATTTGTGGGGGAGGGGTAAGGTCATAAATCATTTGTGGGGGAGGGGACCGGAAGGGGGGAGGGGTAAGGTCAAAAGGTCATAAGTCATAAATCATTTGTGGGGGGAGGGGTGGGTCATAAATCATTTGTGGGGGAGGGGTGGGTCATAAATCATTTGGGGGGGGGACCGGAAGGGGGGAGGGGTGAGGTCAAAAGGTCATAAGGTCAGGTCATTAGTCATCAATCATTTTTGACATAAGGTGTATTACTAAGTTTTTTGATAGGATCCAGCCAGTGAGCTGCCAACAAAATTCGGCGGGCGACACCCAGAGTTTCCCAGATGCTGCAGCCACAGAAGACAGAGAACAAGCAGGGGACCTTGGCAAACAAAGGAGGGCAGGAAAATCCACACCGCAAAGCCAAATCCGGGGTCAGTGACAGGAAACAGCTTCAAGTTCCTTAAACAGACAAAATGCAGCAGGAGTTCATAGACTGGTCAGGCAAAAAGATCAGATGGAAACAGGGAGGCTCAGTGGTTGAGAGGCAGAACAGGTCAGGATCAGGTAATCAGAAACACTATGGTAATGCTGAATGACTCTCACCACTGGCTTGAGAACAATCTCGCCTGATGCCTGAAAGCAGTCAGGTTAAAACTGATCAGACGGGAACAGGAAGGCTCAGTTGAGGCAGACCAGGAATACAGAAACACTAAGACCCACAATGCTGGACCCACTCCCCCCACTGGCTCGAGAGAATAATCTGGCCCTGACAACTGGTTAGAGAACTGGTTAAATAGAAGCAGGAGCAGGTGGATCAGGTGAACGGTTATGAGGAAACGGGTGGAGTTAAGTAGTTGAATGTAATGAGTAATCTAGCAAGTCATCAGTGCCAAGATCATGACAACCAAACCTAGTTCTGGTGGAGGTTTCTCTCTCCATTGTCTCTAGACGCATGCTTGGTGTGAGGGATTGCTTTCAAATCAATGAGTCAATACAATTAGTAGGTTTTCCTTATTTTGAAAAGTTTGATTGTAAAGTATCTTGGCCCTATGTAAATAAACTGACTGGAAATTGAAGTTTAAAAAACTATTTAAGCAACAGAACAAAAATAAGATACCCTTAATTATAACATCAACTTATATAGTGGTCTTACCATTCAAAAGAAACAGCCAAGTAGAATGTTGCAACGCTACTATTGTGTAAGCAATAAAAACATGCAATGCAAGTGACTTCATGGTAAAACTCAAGCAGTAAATGTATTGAAAAACTAAGGGAGCCAGTTGTAAGTAATTGTTCTGAAAAATGAAACAATGTGAGTTGGTTTATTAGAGATACATTAAGAGATACCGTATAATGTACAACAGTGAGCATAAATACTTTCTTTGCTTATAATTTAGCAACACTATCAGTGTGTTGCTCTCTGCTGTCACCGTGCATCTTTGTTGTTGTTCCTCTCAGATTACAATACAATAAGACAGTTACCGTCTCCTGGCACCCACCAAACCCATACTCATCCATTAGACTGTCAGACGGATTTGTCTATCCAGAGAAGGGTCATCCACTGTTTTGGAGTCAAAAAGCAGCATCTACTGTATCCAATCTTTTTCATATATGTATAGCATGTATAGCATATTTATTCCATGAAGCTGTTTACAACCTGTTCTCAAGACAATATCGAGACAGAATAAAGTTGGAGCTCTGTAGAAATTTATCTTGCAGAAAGTTGGCAACCTCTGCAAACAATGCGAACCAGAATAAGCTGCCACCACTCAATCATTTTATGTGGCTCATTACCTTATGGCTGAGTTACTTTCATTCCTAATTGCTTTCACATTGTAATAATAAAACTGTTAGTTGACAGAGGAATATTTAGGAGTCAGAAGATTTCAAAACTAGACTTGTTGCACAGGTGGCTTCCTATCAAACAGGTGGTTATATTGTTGAACAGATGGCTTCCTTTCTGGGTTTTCCATCACAAATTCCACAGACTTCAAGAGAGCGATGCCATTCTTCTAGAAATGTTTTTAGTTAGTAAGCATAGGTGCTTGATTTTTTTACATCCCAAGCTATGGAAGTAAATTGAACAACTGATTTTAATTGGTTGGATTTGTGAGTACATTATATGAATGATTTCTCCTGTGAGGCAAATCTTAGATTTAAGAATTCTGTGTTTATCATGTTTTTTGGGCAATTCCCGTTTCTCTTAGGAATCCAACATGCTATTCAGCAACTAACAAGCTACAAACCAGCTTTTCAAAATCAACAACAAAGTCCAAAATGTAGCCTGACTGGTAACATGTAAATGAAATAGTCACTCATTTAGATATGCAAATGCTTTTGCAAACGTGGTCTCTGAAATCAACAGACCACAACAATAGACCGCGAATAATGGAAATGTGTTCAAAGCCCTGTCGATATTTGTTCATAGATTTAATTTGCTATTCCTGTTCTGATTTATTAATTGCAGCATTTGTTGTGCGCAGAGGCTTTGTTATTGTTGTCCTTTGGTTGTTTGTCTGGACCAATTACAGATGATCCTCCAGGGAGTGGACTGGACTCTTCAGATGTCTGGTGTAATGTATTGATTCCTTTCATCTCTGGTTGCTGGCCTGTGCGCGTGCTCATGTGCGCAAATGCATTTGTGTGTGTATGAAAGCCTGTTTGTCAAAGACAGATGGGAGTGGGAGCTTGTGTCTGTGTGGGAAATGAGTCGATCTCATTTACACTAGTCTCCTCACCCGACAAGGGAGGGCAGACACCTCACTCATGTGTTTGTTGCTTCTCTATTTCCTTCCTCTCCTTTTGTTGGTTTCCTCTTATATTCTCATCACATTCTATCATTATATTTTCTTGACACCTTTGAGTCATACTTTAACTTTATATCCCATTGGCTGATATATTTAGAATGTGAACCTTCTAGCTTTGTCTGTCAATCTTTGCCTGTCTGCTCATTCAATTACAATTTGAAGTATCCATTTTGGTTATCAGTGCACTTCTGTCCATTTTCATTTTATTATTTATAAAGAATCCATTTTTATATCCTTTGCAAATGTATTTATCTACACAAGGTGTTTATTTTTTTCCTTTCACTGTAAGTGTTTTATTTTAAAAATACCAACTATTAAAATACCTTTCTTAAAGAGGAGAAAGTAAATGTAAACAAAACTCAACTTTATTTATAAAACAACCACAGCGTCCACAAAGTGCTGTACATACCAAGTAAGGTTAAAATTGTATAGAAACAACATGGAAGTTTAAAGGAATAAAACAAATATAATAAAATTAACTAATTAAAACAAATAAAACCATATAAAAACAAGGAAACAAACACAAAAAACAGAGATAGTCTCATGCTGTGTTAAAAGCTAAAGAATAAAAATAGGTTTCAAGACGAGTTTAAAAATAGACAATGAGGAAGATTGTCTAATGAGGAGGGGGAGCTCATTCCACAATTTCGGAGAAGCAACTGAAAAAAACTGTTTCCCCTCAGTCTGCACCCCCTTCTCTTTTGACCTCGATACCTCCAGGAGCATCAGGTCAGCTGATCTGAGGGGCCGAGTGGGAGCATAGGGGTGGAGAATCTCAGAGACGTAGGGAGGGGATGAGCCGCTTAAAGACAAAAAAAAAAAAGAATCTTAAAATAAGTTCTAGAATGCAAATGCAACCAATTGAGGAAGGCCAGAATGGAAGTTAGTGTTCCCTCTTACACACTCCACTTAAAAGATGTGAGGCTGCATTTTGCACCAACTGGAGACGTGCAAGGTTTGACTTAGACAAACTTTATTGTTTTTAGTTACACAAGTATTAGGGCCACAATGAAAAAAAAAATGGGGGTGGTGGGAATTTTATTGCAAAAGTGAAAATGTTGGGAATGAAGTTGCAATGTTGTGAATAAAGTGTTAATGTTATTAATAACATTAACAATAAAAAAAAATACAATTATAAGTGCCTACAATTCCACAGCATCATAAGCTCCTTTTTCCCCAAGTGTACGTTCTTATATACGTAGGAATCATGTAGAAAATTAAGTCCTGTAGTTGTAGGCCCATTCTCGTATTATCCAACACTAATTTGATAAAAAGATATCTAACGATGTGCAGTTTCTGCTAAGGGGACTGACAATTGGGAAGCAAGTTCAATAAACAAGTTCCTCTCCCATATAATTTAGGTATTCCCGGCCCAAACCATAAAATTTCTACACTGAATGGCAAGCAGGGGATACTGATCGATGACCTGTGAATTCTTGTTTATGAATGACATGACCTCCTTTTTGTTTTCATGCTCTGGTGAAAACCACCAGACCAAAATGTTAGAGTGTTTGTTAACAAGTATGATTTTAACTGCTGAAACTGAAACTAGTCAAGCTTGTCTAGAAACACTGCACTGCATTTCATGTTTGCTCATTTGCACATCATTTATAAAATTTATATTCAATAAAAAAAAAAAAAAAATGCAACATGATTTGTTTTTTTGGCACTTTTATGTAAATTTTGTGAGCTTTTTGACTTTTAGTTTCACACATAGTAGACACAATTTGTCAAAAATATGTTAAGTTTGAGTTCCTGCTACATTTTTAACAAATTAAGGTTAGTATTGTTTGGGCTTCAATATTAAAATTCCATTCCTACAGATTTTCGGTGGTTAAAGATACTGTATATGGAGCTTCCTTAAATTCAAGTTCTTTGAACAAACTGCTTGTTATATTTTTTTGAATGGCAAGCTTGAAAATGGCAATCAAACATCTTTAAGCACAACTGGCTTTTTCAGCAGTAACAATAAGTGTCAGTTTTCAGCCAAACAAGAACTATTTTTAGAGTGCAATTAAGGAACCCTTAATCACATGTTAAGGGTTCCTTAAATGCTGCTGTAAAAGTGTAATTTGTGTGCATGCTTTTCTGCACTCTTTAAAAACATAACATTAAACATATTTTATCCAATTTTGGCTTATTTTCATTACGTGTGGTTGCATATAAATGCATTCATAAATAGGCTTCAATAAAGTAATTAAATATTTGCAGTGAAAGGAAGCTTAATGCTATGAGAAGAGAATAAGGAAGACAATGATGTATTCTAAAACCAAACACTCCAAGCCACAAAATTTGAAGTTACAAGACAGATTGCAAGATTTTGCAATGAATTTGAGAAATAATACCAGATATTTTTTGTACATAGTAAATGCATTTATATCTAAACCACTGCAAGTGTTATCAGTAAACCAGGACAATAGGTGTATGGAGAGACAGTATGCAAAGTTGCAGTCTCTGTACACAGCATAATCGGTATATTGCAAGGTGTATATGCTGAAAGCTCTGGTCAGCAACAGCAGTAGAAGGAGGTTATATCCCCACTTCCAGCCAAAATCTGCATAGAATCTGCAGAACACAATTCCTTCCACACTTTACCAAAGACATAACTACTGGATAAAAAAAATTATACTAGAATTTGCAGGAAAAATACGCCATACACTTATTTTAAAAAAACATTAACTGCTATTTAGTATCACTTAATGTATTATCTAATGGCTCTGGTGTTAGAAAAGTTACTTAACCCTTTTTGTATTGTATTTCAATAAGAAAAGTCATTTTACTATTTAAGCAAATTAATGGAACAATATCATTCAATTCGGTTTACTTATATAGTGCCAATTCACAACACATGTCATCTCAAGGCCCTTTACAGTTCACCAGATCATACAGTCAAATTGATACAAAGTTTTCTATCTAACGAAAACCAGTGTATTGTATCAACTAATTTACTCAAAATGTAATCTCTTACAATAAGCATTCTTGTAGCGACAGTGGAGAGGAAAAACTCCCTTTTAACAGGAAGAAACCTCAAGCAGAACCAGGCTCAGTGTGAGCGGCAATCTGTCGAGGCCGACTGGGGTTCAAGGAGACAGAAGCAGAGATACAGGAAGCAACTGTAAAAGGCGGCCCTGTCCTGCAAAACGGCCAGGCAGACGAGCTCTGAGCCAACTACCATGTCAGAGGATGAAGAGAGCACATCCAGCCAGTCACAGTTAGAGAAACAGGACTACACTGGAAAACAGGCCGATCTCCAACATCTATAAACAAAGGTGTTTATGGCAGCAGCACAGCAGATTTTTCTCTCCAGGATGGTGTCACAGTCAAAGAGGAACAGACAAGGTGAAGCTACTATGGTTAAAAGCAGAGAGAGCATAATGTCATGCTGCGTTCACACCGGACGCAGCTGGCGCGACAGAAGCAGCGAGTTTACATGCAAAGTCAATAGTTGACACGTGTCAAGGCGCAGCAAAAGGTCCCGCGGCGCGTTTTGAGCAGCAGGCACAGCACGTCTGAGCAGCTGAAGCAGCGCGTCGGGCTCGTTTAAGCATCTGACACGCGTGACACACCGCAAGCGCATTGCTGCTCGAGATGGAAAAATTGAATTTTTGCTGCTCGACATGCCGCGTCAACCAATCAGAGAGAAGCTCCGCCAAATGACGTAGCTGTGTTTTCAGACTGGAGGGAACGACGGAGAAAACCCGGGAATTTACAAAGATGGAAGAAAAATTAATCATTGCTTTTTGCTCTCATCCAGTACTTTATGATCAATTGAGTTACCAATACAGAGACAAGAGCAGAAAGGACCTTGCATGGAAAAGGATTAGCGAGGAAATCGGACCCTCTGGTAAGTTATCCAGGCTTTTACAATGTTAAACATACACTTTCAATATATTGCTAATTTCACGCTGCTCAATAAATGTTTATTCAGAGGATGTATGCAGGAAGAGGTGGAAAACCTTGAGGGACACATACACTATATTGCCAAAAGTATTTGCTCACCCATCCAAATTATTGGAATCAGGTGTTCCAATCACTTCCATGGCCACAGGTGTATAAATTCAAGCACCTAGGCATGCAGACTGTTTTTACAAACATTTGTGAAAGAATGGGTCGCTCTCAGGAGCTCAGTGAATTCCAGCGTGGAACTGTGATAGGATGCCACCTGTGCAACAAATCCAGTCGTGAAATTTCCTCGCTCCTAAATATTCCACAGTCAACTGTCAGCTGTATTATAAGAAAATGGAAGTGTTTGGGAACGACAGCAACTCAGCCACGAAGTGGTAGGCCACGTAAACTGACGGAGCGGGGTCAGCGGATGCTGAAGCGCATAGTGCGAAGAGGTCGCCAACTTTCTGCAGAGTCAATCACTACAGACCTCCAAACTTCATGTGGCCTTCAGATTAGCTCAAGAACAGTGCGCAGAGAGCTTCATGGAATGGGTTTCCATGGTCGAGCAGCTGCATCCAAGCCATACATCACCAAGTGCAATGCAAAGCGTCGGATGCGGTGGTGTAAAGCACGCCGCCACTGGACTCTAGAGCAGTGGAGACGCGTTCTCTGGAGTGACGAATCGCGCTTCTCCATCTGGCAATCTGATGGACGGGTCTGGGTTTGGCGGTTGCCAGGAGAACGGTACTTGTCTGACTGCATTGTGCCAAGTGTAAAGTTTGGTGGAGGGGGGATTATGGTGTGGGGTTGTTTTTCAGGAGCTGGGCTTGGCCCCTTAGTTCCAGTGAAAGGAACTCTGAATGCTTCAGCATACCAAGACATTTTGGACAATTCCATGCTCCCAACTTTGTGGGAACAGTTTGGAGCTGGCCCCTTCCTCTTCCAACATGACTGTGCACCAGTGCACAAAGCAAGGTCCATAAAGACATGGATGACAGAGTCTGGTGTGGATGAACTTGACTGGCCTGCACAGAGTCCTGACCTCAACCCGATAGAACACCTTTGGGATGAATTAGAGCGGAGACTGAGAGCCAGGCCTTCTCGTCCAACATCAGTGTGCGACCTCACAAATGCGCTTCTGGAAGAATGGTCAAAAATTCCCATAAACACACTCCTAAACCTTGTGGACAGCCTTCCCAGAAGAGTTGAAGCTGTTCTAGCTGCAAAGGGTGGACCGACGTCATATTGAACCCTATGGATTAGGAACGGGATGTCACTTAAGCTCATATGTGAGTCAAGGCAGGTGAGCAAATACTTTTGGCAATATAGTGTATGTGAGGGAGGTAAAAAAAGAAAAAGAAAGAAAGAGAAGTGGTGCAGCAGCAGGGACAGCACAGAGGTGGAAATATCTAGCAGGCCTGTCCTTCCTTGAACCCTTCGTCACTCTGCGAGAGACCACCAGCAACATGCAGGGAAGGGTCGAGGAGGAGCAGGCCGCTGAGTACAGCCACCCAGAGGAGCCAGAGGAGTATTCAGGGCTATCTGATGCCAGAGGTTTGTTTAGTGAGACAGTTAAAAAATTATCAGGTTTCACCTCCTCAGTTTGATTCTTAGTGGTTCATATTATTAAATTGTTTTAATAAATATATTGACAGAAACAGCAACAACAGTGTCTCAGAACCAGCTTGGTGAGCTGTCTGCCTCTTCTTCTGAGCTGGCTGGACCATCGTCTGCTCCTGAACCATACTCTGCTCCTGGACCATCTTCTGCTCCTGGACCATCTTCTGCTCCTGGACCATCTTCTGCTCCTGGACCATCCTCTGCTCCTGGACCATCTTCTGCTCCTGGACCATCCTCTGCTCCTGGACCATCTTCTGCTCCTGGACCATCGTCTGCTCCTGGACCATCCTCTGCTCCTGGACCATCTTCTGCTCCTGGACCATCGTCTGCTCCTGGACCATCGTCTGCTCCTGGACCATCGTCTGCTCCTGGACCATTGTCTGCTCCTGGACCATCCTCTGCTCCTGGACCATCTTCTGCTCCTGGACCATCCTCTGCTCCTGGACCATCCTCTGCTCCTGGACCATCTTCTGCTCCTGGACCATCCTCTGCTCCTGGACCATCTTCTGCTCCTGGACCATCGTCTGCTCCTGGACCATCGTCTGCTCCTGGACCATCGTCTGCTCCTGGACCATCCTCTGCTCCTGGACCATCTTCTGCTCCTGGACCATCCTCTGCTCCTGGACCATCCTCTGCTCCTGGACCATCTTCTGCTCCTGGACCATCCTCTGCTCCTGGACCATCTTCTGCTCCTGGACCATCGTCTGCTCCTGGACCATCGTCTGCTCCTGGACCATCCTCTGCTCCTGCATCATCAGGTGTGTATGGAATCAGTGAAGTACTTTCTCCTCTTCTGTCTGTTGTTGTGCAGTGAAACACCAGATAAAATGAAACCTTATTTTGTGATCCCCAAAGTCCTATATTCTGGTGTAATTATACTGTCTGCTTTTAAGATCCATCAAAGAAGAGGGTCTGGAAAAGGCAGCATGATGAGCCCACAGAGTTTGAGAGGGAAATGTTGGAGGTCCTGAAATCAAGCACCACATCTGAACCCTGCTGTGAGGATGATTATTTTCTGCGTTCTCTGCTTCCTCTCCTGAAAAAGGTTCCACCTGAGTCAAAGGACTTTGTAAAATTTCAAATTCATAAGTTATTGTATGAAAGCAGCACTGTCAAACTTAATCTGGAACCATCAGAGTAGATATTTTTAAAATAAAATAGGTGGCACTTTTTGAGAGGAAACAGACATTCTCATGTTTGTTTGTTTTTTCCATTTTGTTCATGTTGTATGTATGTGTTGATTTAATGTTTGTTCAAAATCTGTTTTAATAAATATTTTATGAATTTACATTTGGCTTAATGTAACCTGATGGCAATCAGGAACCTGATGGTAAGCTGTCACAGAATCTCCGGTCCTGGCCAGCAAGAGCAAAAGGGTAAGAAGACTCACAAACGGACTGCAACTATGGGGCCAGCAGTGAGATCGCTTGAAGCTAACGATGGTAGCCAGTTGTTGCGATCCATCGTCGTTAATGTAACGGAACTACGCCACTCTAAAGACACACCCCTTAGGCGTAGGTTTTAAAAACACTAGCTTACCATATTAGGGTCCTATTCTGCCGGAGGCCCTATGCCACTAAAAGCCTAGACAAAAGTGTTTCCAGTTCAATGCTATGCTACGTAGCAAAAAAGTCACTCCGGAGAAGTCTGGCTCTCTGGACCGAGTCAGACTGCCTTTATCCTACGATTCAGAAGGAGTTGAACACAGTGTGTTTTTTAGCATTACTGGGTTAGGAGAATATATTACTATTGTTGTGTTGCAAATGCATTTTTTTATTATGTCATCATATAATATATGTTAATATATATAATGAGTTTCACAAAAATAGCTTTTATTAGAATTTTTAGAGTTTATCAAATCTTTCATTTTATCCAATTAGTTTTGATGCGTTCGATTTTTATTTATTTTTTTATTAAATTTTCCAGATGAATATACAAAAATTGACATAAAAGAACAAATCACCACCCTACCCTTGCCCTCCCAGAACAGCACATCATAGAACACTTTCACAGTCAAAACAACATGACGAAAACACCATATATTGATCTAAAGCATTCCACAAGCATGAAAAAAAAGGAAAGTTATACAGAGTATTAAGTAGTGACGAGTCAGTCGATTTTTATTTTAAAAATGAAGCTGAAATATGAACAAATTCAGACCAGTAATACCAATAAACTGGTCCTGATTAAGTTATGTTAATGTTAATAGTGGCCTACACTAACTGCTATGACTCAACTGTTCAAAGAGACACTTTACAATAGAAACTACTGACTTGCTAAGTGAGAGAATTTCCATGTGGATGGAATAAGAAATAGTTCATTCAAATCCATAAATGTCTCTCACTACTCTGTGTGCCAGCGTTTCATAATTCCTCCTCCCTGAGATCAAATAGCAGAAGTTATATGAAAATGTAAATACTACTAAGGAATTTTTGGGTAAAGTAAATGTCATTGTTTCTGGGATGCATTTAAAAAAAAAAAAAAAAAAGAGTGTAAGTATACCCACTTCTTCAGGCACCACTACACTACTGACAGCACCTATACATTACATTATCCAGGGCCTACTTAGCAGAACACAATTATTTCAATTCAATGTATTAACATTTTATAACATTAAAAGTAAACTGAGCATATCAGTTGTAGTACGTCCCTCTCTTCAGAGCAGCCCGGTAGCAATTTTGTACGTATTAGAGAACCTGTGGAATATTGGTCACTAAATGATCCTGCTGCATCTTGGGTGAACATATACAAAAAAAGAAAGAGTAGGACAGGACTCGGGAACACCAAGATGCAGGATAAAAAAAGTTAATCTATGGCTCTGAGTTTGGCTCGTCCTTACTATGGAAGGTTAACAATGACTGGCGAACTGCTTCTCTTATGCTTAGTTGATTGGTGGATGGGATTCACCTGTGTGCAATCACACAGGTAAAGGAGGGGCAGCAAAGCCAGCAGCAATCTCAGACAACCAACCCTCCCAAACAATCCCAAAACTCGACAGATAGGTCAGTTTAAAAGGACAAAATATATATTTTAGATAATAAAAATCCTAATGTTGAAAAAATAAAGTCCTAATGCTAGTTCTATGAGATTAAAGTAATAAAAGTATGAAAATAAAGTCAAATTGTTACAAAAAAAAAGTAATAACACCAAGTCTACCAGAAAGAACTGTAAAAAGATTAGTTTAAACTTGGGATATTACCTGAACAGTCATAAAACTTTGAGATTAAAGTCATAACTTTATGAAAATACAGTTCTACTATTACAAGTTATTCATTTTTGTTATTAAGATTTGTGTACTTTAGTGTATTTGTTTGTGTTTTATGTCATGTATATATATTTGTATTCTGCATCAGTGTCTTCTGCCATTGCTTTCTTGTTTGTTAGTGTTTCAGGTTACCTCTTAGTTTATTACTTTTTCTCCTTCAGCTTCGTTGCTTTAATCCTACCACAGCTGTTCCAGATTTCCTGATAAGCTCATGTGGTTCCTTTTTTTTGTTCTCCACCAATCACGGGATAATTATTTGTCCTTTATTCTATTACAATGTCCATAGTTTACTTGTACTCCATAATCTCTTACCTGGTTAATCCCTATTAATTCTGTCACTTTTTCAATATTTTTATGACTCTGTCCTTCACTTCTACAAAAAGCATAACATAAGTGTGATTCCATTCCATTTAATGGAACTTAATAAATTGCAATTAACATCTAAAGAGCACTACATTGAAAAAGATAACCACAAACTGGTTTCATTAAAGGAAGGCAGTCAGCCACTAACACACAAATTGCTTAATTTAATAGATTATTCCTACAGAAAAAATATAAAATCCTACATGTTGTCTTCAGATGCAGAAAAAGCATTTGATAGAGTAAACTAGAAATGTTTAATCGCTACTCTACATAAATTCGGTTTTGGCAATTTCTTTATAAATTGGTTAAATATCTTATGCAGCTTCCCAACAGCCTGTGTCAGGACAAATAATCAAACATCTTCCAGCTTTTGTCTCCAGAGGGGCACCAGGCAGGGATGCCCACTCTCCCCCTCACTTTTTGCTATTTTTATTGAGCCTCTAGATGTAACAATCAGATAAACTAATGTGGTTAAAGGTATAAAATGCATGAAAATAGAGCATAAAATTAGTCTTCAGATAGATGATGCATTAATTTATCTCCAGCACTCAAACACTTCCCTTTCTTAAGAGATTAGATTACTAGAATATTTCTCAAAAGTCTCAGATAACTCTATAAATTGGTCTAAATCTACAGTACTACCAATTATTTGGTCTCTACAGAATCCCCTAGGTTTACAACTGCAATCAGGAAATATCAAATATGTGTGAATTACTGTGTCATCGAAATTAGCTGATTTACCAAAACTTAACCACATCCCATTTTTTTAAAAGATAGAAGAGGACCTAGAAAGATGGAAATCACTTCTGATCTCACTTATGGGTAGGGAAACCTCAATTAAAATTATGGACTTACCTAGAATTAACTACTTATTTTCAATTATCCCCAATAAACCATCATCTGAAAATCTCTAGATTCTTCCATCTCTAAATTTCTTTGGAAAGAGAAACCCCCTCGTATCAGCTTAAAGACACTACAGAAAACTAAAGACAGAGGGGGACTTGATCTACCTAACTTCCAAAACTACTACTTAGCAAATAGACTACAATACACCTCTTAATGGATAAAACATAATCCCTAACCCTAACATTCTACCAAATAATAATATGATAAACTTTCCGTACTGGATAAATAAAGGTATTAAATATCTGGATCATTTATTTGAAGGAACTGAGTTATCTTGGCTCAAATATGTCTAACAACTTTTAAGATGACTATTTACAACTAATACAACACAAAATCCTCCACAGTGTACACTATACAGGTAAAAGATTATTCAAGATGGGTTTTGCACAAACTAATATCTGTCTACAGTGCACAGGCAATCATCTTGATAATTATATTGACACATTATGTTTATGTACACCGGTTCAGAGGTTCTGGGTACAGGTGCAGTATGTAAGGACTTATCACAGTGCCTGAGTTGTAAAATTCCACCTTCACCGTCAATTTGCTTGCTGTGTGACTTTTAGGGACGCTCTCTGGAAACAAAAAATTGTTTGCATGGCCTTCTATGCGTTATGTATCGCAAAGAAAACTACTCCTCATGAATTGGAATTGGAATCAGTATAGAGATCTTTTGTTGGATCATATTAATCTTGAGACAGCATCTGTACCCGCATCAGATCAATCTCTCTGGGCTCCCTTGATCAGCTCCATCACTTTTTGGAGTGAGGGTCTGTGGGACGGGGCTTGGGATGCCCCAGGACGTCCTCCAGCGGCTGTTTGTGGTGAGAGACTTGGGTTACTGTCCTGGTAGCTGGGCTGCTGCTGGTTGGGTCTGGTGTGGCTCCAGGGGTCTGGGGTCCCTGGGGTGCGTTGCCCTCAGAAGGGTGCCCCGGCGGGGTGTCGGGGGTTGGGGTTCTGTGGGGTATGCTGCCTTGGGCGTGGCCGGTGTATGCCCGCTTGTCTGGCCCTGTCGGGGCTTCTGGTGTGCTGGGGGGCCTCAGGGCCTTTTGAGTTGGTTGGGGATTAATGTTGGGGAGGGATTACATTTCTGGTGGTGGTGGATGTTTGAAGCGCTTCGTTTTTGGCTCCCTGTCTCAGTCCTGGTCTATGCTGTCCCCTGGTGCGGGCTTTGCCCGGGCTGGGGGTTCTGCATGCCAGCCAGGGTTTTTGTTTTTTTTTCCGGGAAAGCCAAGAGGTATGGTGGATGGACAGGACGAGGGGTGGCGGTGTTGGCCCTG